ACAACCCTGTGTCCCCAGGGGGGCTGGGGGACACCCCTGTGCCCTGCTCCGGGATGGGGGGCCCCCCCCTGACCCCCCTCTCTCCTGCAGATAGTGTCGGCCGTGCAGTACTGCCACCAGAAGTTCATTGTCCACAGGGACTTGAAGGTGAGGAACCCCTACTTAAAGCCCCCAGCACCCCGTGGGACCCCTGCCAGCACCCCAAGGTGCTCCATGGCTTCCACCTCTTGACCCCAGGGAGGCACCCGGACACCCCTGGGGCAGCACTCAGACAACCCTGAACCTCCTGGGAAGTTCCTGGGCCCCCAGGGTGGCACCCAGACACCCCTTGGTCCCCCTGGGAGGTGCCGGGACCCCCCAGGGCAGCACCCAGACACCACCAGGGCCCCCTGGGAGGTGCTGGGACCCTCTGGGCAGCACCCAGACACCCTCAGGACCCCCAGGGCAGCACCCAGACACCCCTTGGTCCCCCTGGGAGCTGCTGGGACCCCCTGGGGCACCACCCAGACACCCCTTGGTCCCCCTGGGAGCTGCTGGGACCCCCTGGGGCACCACCCAGACACCCCTTGGTCCCCCTGGGAGCTGCTGGGACCCCCTGGGGCACCACCCAGACACCCCTTGGTCCCCCTGGGAGGTGCCGGGACCCCCCTGGGGCACCACCCAGACACCTCTTGGTCCCCCTGGGAGCTGCCGGGACCCTCTGGGCAGCACCCAGACACCCCCGGGGTCCCCCGGGAGGTGGCTGGACCCTCCAGGACATCACCCAGAAACCCCTGGGACCCCCAGGACAGCACCAGATACCTCCAGACAGCCCCTGGATGCACCCATGTACCCCTAAACCCTCTCAGCAGAGCACCCAGACGCCCCTAAGGCCCCTCGGGGCGCTCTCCCTTCCCTGGGACAGGCGGAAAACCTACTGCTGGACGCCGACATGAACATCAAAATCGCCGATTTTGGCTTCAGCAACGAATTCACTTTCGGGAACAAACTGGACACTTTTTGCGGGTCCCCCCCCTACGCTGCCCCCGAACTCTTCCAAGGGAAGAAATACGATGGCCCCGAAGTCGACGTCTGGAGCTTGGGCGTCATCCTCTACACCTTGGTCAGCGGTTCCTTGCCTTTTGATGGGCAAAATCTTAAGGTAGCACCTGAGTTTTGGGGGGTTCCCTGGGGGTCCCCGAGGGGGTCGCGGAGTGCCAATGGGCGCCTTTCGCCTCAGGAGCTGCGGGAGCGGGTGCTGCGGGGCAAGTACCGGATCCCCTTCTACATGTCCACCGACTGCGAGAACCTGCTGAAGAAGTTTCTCATCCTTAACCCCACCAAGAGGGGCACCTTGGAGGTGAGGAGGGGACGGGACAGGACCGGGAAACCCACAGGGGCACCCCCCGTGGGGTCCTGGGCACCCCCGGGACACCCAAGCGTGGTCCTAGGATCCCCAAGGACCCTCTAGCGTGGTCCTTGACACCCCCAAAAGCACCCCAAGACCCCCAGCGTGGTTCTGCGTGCCCCCAGGTTTCCCCAGGCACCCCCAGTATGGTCCTGGGCACCCCCAGTGTGGTCCTGAACCCCCTGGGACCCCCCCCGGGCACCCCCAGTGTGGTCCTGGGCACCCCACGAGCCCCCTGGGCACCCCCAGTGTGGTCCTGGGCACCGCACAAGCCCCCATGGCACCCCCAGTGTGGTCCTGGGCACCCCCAGGTTTCCCCAGGGACCCCCAGTGTGGTCCTGAACCCCCTGCGACCCCCCCAGGGACCCCCAGTATGGTCCTGGGCACCCCCAGCTTACCCCTGGGCACCCCTGAGCACCCCTGGTATGGTCCTGAACCCCCAGGACCCTCCCAGGCACCCCCAGGAGTCCTCTGGAACACACCCAC